CAATCCCGAAAAACTCATCACTGGGCTACGGAATTTATGCAACGTACTCAGAAAGTCTCGTTTTTATATCTTGAAGCTTTGAATTTGGGAACTAACAGGTATCTAGGGCCTTTTGGGGTCACAGGTCTCGCTATTTCATGCTGTAAGCTCCAAAGTCGGCACGCGCCATGCTTCTGTCCCTAGTCCCTATGATTAGCCTACCCGTTTCCACCAAAGACATCGCAACATTCACAGATGCGGCAGTTCGTTTTCAAGTTAATCCTATGCAATTTTTACATGGGCATATAAAATGGGCATAGTGGTGGTTGAGGTAGTACAGGGGCAAGTGGCGCCATCACACACACACATGGTCAATGGTTCGAATCTCGGATCAATGCCCGCTTGGTGCAACCAATCCTTCTATTTCCCGGGTTCGATTAATTGGTATCGGATACGTCTGGAGGGATAAAAGCCTTGATTTGTGCCCCTTAAAAAATTGATAACAATGTGGTCCATATGTGGACCACACTTTTTAGACAGGGTGGAATCGTGTGGTCCTTATGAGGACTACAGATATGATCTCACACAGCTATATTTCCATTTTTTTGCCACCTTTTTTTCTTTGAACATTAAATCAGATCTACGCCCAGCTGAATACTGCGTGATTCTAGAGAATCTTTTATTTTTTGGAACTTTACGTTTGATACCATATCATATCACACCCACTGTACCATACCTATGCTTCTTCAAAGAATTGAATGGTTGAAGGTGGATTTTTTTCGCTCAAAAACTTTAGTAACCATCGCTAAAAACGTTTTTGCCGTACTTTTAGAACTGAATCATTGAAACACTTCAGAAAATGTGATGTTTTCAAAAGAAGATCGGCATCCTCATCATTATGGACTAGATCCGATGTCCGCAAAAGCTCCTCGAAACGATTTCTGGACATAAATCAGCTAGTGATTGAATGACCACCAAGTGCTAAACTCAGAAAAATAATCCGCAAATGGACTCAAATAAATGGTCCCCGAAGCCTACTATGAGCTGCGGTCGCAGTTGGATGGGAAAAACAGGCCGATCCTTCACGACTCTTTTTCCCCGAAACTTCCATCTTCCTTTTCCCTGCATCACTACTATGCAGTACTCAAATGGGCCTTATTTACGTGTGGTAGTTACTACAGCTTTGGTGTGAAGAAAAAACGCTCCAAATACAGGAATTTAGCTTAACAACAGCAATTTCGACCTTAGTAGATAACCATCCATCGGCTAGTTCTAATTAATTTTGCTTTGGCAGAACAACAATTCCTCACAGTAGTACTTCCAATACAAATCCATTATTAAATGATTGAAATGAAGGGTTTTAAGATTTTAGGGTGGAAAGAAGAAGCGAAACAAATATGTCTGGTAGGTTAGGTTCTGGAAATTACGAAAGGCTTCTGAAGGAATCTGCAAGAGCATAATTGTTTACAGCAAGAGTTTTCGATCACTTCAAAGATACGTGCTTCATTTGTTCTTTCTAAAAAACTAGCCTTCAGTCCCCAGACATTTCGATTTTCGGATATATGGGCAGATAGCAGAGGAGATAGAAAATTATCTGCGGGAATCAAATTTTATTTGTGCTCTGACTGGTCTCCGTAAGTCGTTTTGAGCCCATTTTGCGAGAAGATTGATTCCGCCATCGCGCTGTATTTCTTCTATATGACCCTCTCTCAACGTGGAAATGGTTTTGAATAATAGATGTCCCTTCTTGAATTATTTATTATTATTCGATGCATGAAATATGAGCTTTTAAGCATTATGAACGACGTACTTCACTGGTTCTTTCGATAGTTATAGCCTTCACGAGATGCGTTCCTTCCTCAAAGGTAGGCCAATTGTCAGGATTATTGGGAGGGAATGGGGAGACATCCAGTAGCATTATCACTTGTCTCAATCATGAATTCCTTTGCAGTGGAAGATCCGGATCGGAATTAATTTCAGAGCAGACCGAACCTGAAACGGAGACTGTTGGATCTGCTCAACTCCGAGGTTGATTCTTAAGACCGGCAACCGATTGCAATAAACTCCTTTGACTTCAAAGGGCCACAGGCCAGGGCTACGATCCACTTTTTTCAGTTTCCACTTATCTGGTTCTCTCTAAAGGCACAGATCACGATAAACTGAGATATCCCTTCGTGGTCCCTGGCGTTATCATTTCGGTAGACGGCCTGGGTAGGGAGGTATTAGGGTTCAAAGGTTGTATCGGCTGTATCCCACCCCAAAGACGGACGAGTTCCAATAACATTGTAGAAGCTGTACCCTTCATAAGGAAGCCAAGTATTCAGTTCAAACAACTTCTCAATACCCATAGCGACAGTGGAAGGCAGTTCTGAGCATTTTTAGCTTTATTTAGCCACTTTTTTGCGCAATTTCAACAACTGAAACTCGTCCAAAGACTTCCTGCATGTCATTTTTGCCATGGCAATCTCGTACAACCTCTATTTCCATTACTTTTAAAGAGCCTTATATTTCACTTTCAAAGAGCCTTATATTTCGCAGAATCCGCGACTTTTCTCGCTTCTTTCACCACCGATNTTTTCTCCTCTGATTTGTCGCCATGGAATCGACCCTCGTGCTCACACCTCTGCCGATGCTTTCGGACGTAATCTGATACCATCGGCCACTCTCGTTTATAAGCTCAATTTTTTACTGCCTACTGCATATTTGTCAACANACCATTCCCAACTCTTACTTCCGCTTTTCGACTTGAACCTCTAAATTATCCTGAACTGTGTCTTCAAATCAAGAGGTAAGGCAAATTCCAGATTTCAAGGCCTTGCGTGACACTGCCTCATCATCCATCTTTACGGCCATTCGCAATTCTCGAGCAAATATCCCAGATAAGGCAAAATGCTAGGCGTAACTTCTGTTTCGTTCTCGAGGGACAACTGCGAATTTCTCACATAAACATGGACGTCAATGAGTTGACTTGCTGTTAGGAACAGCGGATGTATGTTCGACTTCCGATTACGACAAATTGCTCTCACAAGAACAACTTCACGGAGATCGATTATTCCACTTCCGGAAGGGTGTTCTCCGAGCGCCAACGAGGAATAGATAGCTCTTCCTCACTTACTTGACAGAGCTGGTTTTCCAATCACCCTTCACATGTGGCCCATTAATTACCTTGCAATTATGCTAAATTCAACTCCGTCTCAAAAAAAAAACTCGAATTTGTTCATGAAAAGACATCGGGGAATCATCAAACTTTTCATCTCCCTTATTTCTTTTTGAATTTCTTGCAAATCTTCTTTTCAATTCACAAATTCTAGTGAAATACGAGACTTTCTTAGGATCAGGAATGATCCTATTGTCAGGACAGATTTCTAAGAGTCCTCTACGACCACTTTATCCTCTCATACGATTACTCTATAGTACTCCATGATACATATGATTTATGAGCAACGTGATGGGATGAAGTGAGACAGTGTAGGCTTTTGAAGTTGTTCGATCTCGTTCAAGCGTAAGCCCCGCATTCGACTTCCATTCAGGATCGTGATTACTTTTCGAATGCGGCCTATACACTGACTTTCGTTGACCAACCTATGCCCCATTCAGCACTTTTATGTACCCAAACCGGTTAGGTACCAATTAACCGAAATCGGACAAAACGGAGGCTTGGTTGACCTGAGCAGGTAACGATCCGAAACTCAACCCTCGGAGAATGCTCGTGTGTGACACTGTGCACTTGCCACTACTCCACTCATCTAGAATGATTGAATGTTTGTTGAGAAGAATAGGGTCACACTTCTGACTACAAAACAGACTGAAGACCGAAAATTGAATCTTGCGTAGGCCAGATCGCTCTGTACTCCAAGCAATCGTCTAAGCTACAGCTTGATTTGTTTGAGACAATACAAGTGCTTATTCATTCATCAGTTGGCTCGTCAAGACTTTGTATAAGTCATGCATCCATTTGACTATTATAACGGTTCTGAACAGAATATGAATGCATGGCGCACTCCAGGAAGTGTGTTGAACAATGTAGAGCTCTCAAGCCTTCACAGTAGCTCTACAATTTTTATTAGTTACATAGGAGATACAGGTTTAAGGCTGCATTTTGAGAATAGGGGCTCTAAAACTTTCGCGAAGCAGCCTCAATAGATGATTTCGTCATGGGAAAAAGGGCTCCGCCCACGTGTCCTCTTCAAGCACTGGGTCATGGTATTTGTTTGGAGCTCATAGCGTGGGAGTATTTCGAGTACAAATTAGTCCGAAAATTTCATTTTCAAATTTCTCAAGCAAATATTCGTATGGGAGCAAATTTCACGTGGGTCTGTTTATTGACTTCTTGTTGTATTTGGAAAAGAAAATGAAAGCTGAAGAAGCCGATCCAAAAGAGCTCGTCAATTTGGTGATGAAGATGCCAGAATACTTTATCCCGAGAAGAACATCCTTATATTTAATAAAAATGCATAAACAAACAATGCTCAGGACAACGCAGTAGCGAGAAGCAAAGGCAGTTTACCTATGAACCCGATCCAGCTCGATTTGGGTAATTCCTTCTCCCGGATCCGACCGACTTGTTCTGTTCACAAATAAAAAAAAAGAACACGATGACTTAATTATTAGCTAAATTAGCGATTTAGTGTAATGGGTTTGCATCCGCATACAAATACCCCCACAATTCCAACTAGAAGTAGGAATCGAAGCGTATTCTCGATAGGAAGAGTACCGCTAGCCATTCTACCTCTCTTGTTGTGATGTCCAAGTTGTTTTCTCCTCTGATTTGTCGCCATGGAATCGACCCTCGAGCTCACACCTCTGCCGGTGCTTTCGGACGTAATCTGACACCGTCGACCACTCTCGTTTATGAGCTCAATTTTTTACTGCCTACTGCATATTTGTCAACAACAAAACAGCTTTACACCATGGTCGTTCCCTATTTACGCTAGTAACCACTAATTCTCTTCGTCACCGCTTCCATTACAGACTGTGGAACACTGGCGCGGAATGTAGCAAACGCTGGACGGAGGCTAGAAATGTGGGCGATACTCCTTCTAGCGACAACTGTCCTCGCCGAGGTATGTTTTACAAATCCCTTCCTCCTTATCATTTCCCTAGACAGCCCAATGATCCTTCTGGAGACTGTGCCTGGCTGTTTTCCCAGGGCAGGGAGTAAGGCGTCTACGGAATGCGCTTCCCTGACCTGTCGGGGTTTCCAGAATGTGCTCCTTCTAGTACTTCTTCCCCCATTTGCAGGACTTCTTCTAAACGAAATCTTTCAGGATGTCTGCAAGCAACGATGTGATCGAATATACCAACGATCTTTAGCGAGGGTCGGCTTTGATGATGACAAACTGAATCGTCTTCTGGAAACTCAACGGCCACTGGGAACACTGCGTGATGTTTGCTGGTAAAACACGCCCTATCACCAATATTACTGCAGCCAACTCAGTATTTTTTAGGAGGATATATGACAATTTGGACTGTATGAAACAGTGCGATCAAACAACTCAGGAACATGAGGAATTCGCCAATAATGTGAGATCAAAATGCCGATACGTTCTTAGAGGTGAGCCTGAAAATTGGACTACCTTAAAAATCTCATCTACCCCGTTTTAAGCTTCTCCATGATCAATTAGATGAATAGATTCGCCCGAGGGTTTGAAACTAGTGCGATTGGTAATGTCTAAGGTCTAATTGGTATCCATAAAAACATAGCCGTCAAGGCCTAAGTTCATATAGCTTTCTGAAGGATATAACATTTGTGGGATACTTTTATAGCTGCCCCTACTAATCAATAGACGCTCGAATCTCTCTGTTTGTTAGTCTGTCTGCCTGTCTTCCTGCCTTTATGTCTGTCTGTCTGTCTGTCTGTTTGCCTGTGTGTCTGTCTGTCTGTCTGTCTGTCTGTCTGTCTGTCTGTCTGTCTGTCTG